CGATAATGTAATGACACGTGTAGATCTGTGTTTGTTTGTCAGCAAAGCACTCCTAGGATGTAGTTTTTCATCTGGTTTATTTTCAGTCAACTCGATTAAACTCAAACCTGAGCTGAAACTTGGGGTGGTAGTAGCTGAGGTCATCCACAACATATACTCTGACAGCTAACGGATCAGACATTTTTATTTAAAACTTTGGCGTGCAACAGGGCGTCAAAGGAATGTGCATTGTGTGCACTAACCGTGCTCCATCCTTTTCACTGCTCTGTGATTGTGAATGATATTAAATGTTCCGTGTAATAATCGGTGTTGGTGTGACCGGTCAGTAAGGGACAGCAAGAGATACTTTTTATTACCCTCAAGCTGATTGATATGATTATGGTGTCGTAACTTCAGAGAGTACTTGAGAGCTGGTGGCTCCTGACTACAGCTGGGCTGCTGATAACAGCTGGACAGGGAGGGAGACGCTGAGAAGAATGGTGGCTACCAAACAGGGTTTATTTTTGATTTGTTCATGAAGTCAAAACGAGTCCAAGCCATTGATAAGTCTGTAAATGCATTGATCTTCTGTGATTGCCGGTTTTCTCCAAAGCTTTGTAATAAACTTGATGACGCTTACACCTGGTTGTTTTGGGAATCCCTTTTTTCCACGACACAAGGCAGTGGCAGGCTACTTTCATCGTCCCAGTTGTGTTGGTGAATGGCAGGTTCACTGCATCGTGATTAGTGACTCGCAAAGTTGTCATCAAAATGATTTTTACCTAAGTGAAAGATTGTGTACCTTTTTCTAGTAATACAAATTAAACCCTACTTTAACTTACATCTAATTCATTTCATACAATATGAAGTGTTCCGAGACGTCACAGGAAAGAGACCAATCAACTGAGGAGCAACATCGAAACGAAGACAAACATAAGAAGGAGGCAGCATAAAAAAGTTAAATATAAAAAAAAGAGTTGAAAGCAAGCTTGGGGATACATTCGGCTTCACGCAGAAACTTTTTTTACTTTAATCCTAAAATTCCCCTCATCAGCATTTCCAGCAGAGAAAACGGGAACGCTTACATTCAGCAAATTCTTCCATAAAGCATTTTTTGAAACATTAGTGCCACCAGCTGAGCTCTGCTCATTCACAGACGTATTCACAAGCTCAGCAGGTGAAAACGCTACATAAACGAATCAAAACAGCCACAGCTTGACACAAGAATCACTGTTTTTTTTAGGCGGACTTGAGTTAATTTTGAGACAAAGACAATCAATAAACTGGTTAAAAACATCAAACTTACAACACTATTTAGGGGAAATAGTAACAAAATAGTGCTTGGATGATTTGGCTGTATTGCACATAAAAACAGATCATATTTTAATTTGCACTTGTATTAAAAGTTGCATTAAAATGACACAAGTAGAGAAGAAGACCAACAAAATGTGAAAGACACAGACTTGGAGGAAGTGACGGGTGGAAGGAGGACAACAAGTACATGCGAGAGTAAAGACAGAGGTTCAGGAGAAAAAAGAGAAGATGCATGAAGGTGTAAGAAACCAAAAGGACATGAAAGATTAGAGCGAAGACAGAGTACCATAAAGACATGCGGCGATGAAAGAAAAATCATTTTAGTTTTTAATATTAATGCATCTACGAGCGTTTCATCTTCCTGGGTTTAATCAGCGCTGCGTCCTGACAGACTGTCCGCTGATGCTTCACTCTGCGTCACGATTAAACACCTGTTCACTGAGCGCCACTGAATCGTGTCCGCTCTTCTAACCTCGTGTAGCTGAGGCGACTTTAGGTGACACAACGAGAGCAGCTTAAACGTCTACCATTATTGTGTGAATGTTTATGAAGCATTCACACTATTGTGATCCATTTTACTTCCGAACATTGTCGACACCTTTCCCGTTCCTCAATTTTTGCGCTATTTCAATAATCATAAATCAAAACGTTCGGCTCTTTCAGGACAATCCTGTTATGACTTTTGGTATTGGTGCAACTTTAGCTTTTTGAAATATTTAGCCTTTTATGCCATTTTCTTTCCCCACAGAAAATGAATTGAGCTCATTTTCCATCCTTCACATCTTTAGATCTTTTTTACAAACTTTTCCTGCTCCTTTCACATTTTGTTCTCGTTCAGCTTCTTTCAGCCTTTTTGTGCAAATTCAAAATTTTCTTTCAGCTATTTTCAGCTAATTTAAACCGTTTTTTTTTGTTTAGCTGTTTTGTGCTCCTTTCAGATTCTTTCTGCTAACAACAACAGTTTTGTGCTTCTTCCAACTTTTTTATGCTGATTGCAGTTTGTTATGCTCCTTGCAGCTTATTTCTGAAAGTTTCAGCTTTTTCTTCTACTTCAGCTACTATCTAGCTGATTTATGCCAATTTAAGTTTTTTCAGCTAATTCTGCACTTTTTTCAGCCTAATTCAGCAAAAAATGTGCTCTATCTCCACGTCCTTGTAATTTCAGCTTCTTTCGGCCATTTTTGTTACTTTTCAGCTGTTTATTTTTTGCTAATTTAATTTTTTTCAAGTAATTTCCACTTTTTTGAGCTCATTTTTCATTCTTTCAGCCTAACTGGGTAAACATTTTCTTTCTGCTTTCTTATGCTACTTTAAGCTTGTTCTACCTTTTAATTTTAGCTGTTTTCAGATCGATTCAAGTTTTACTAGATAATTTCTGCTACCTTCAGCCTAATTAACTTCTTTATGCTAATTTCAACTTGTTGTGATCCTTTCAACTTTTTCTGCTAGTTTCAGCTTTTTCTGCTCTTTCAGCTACTATTTAGCTGCTTTTATGTAAATTTTAGCTTTTTCAGCTAATTACACATTTTTAGCTCATTTTAGCTCTTTCCACTTCCTTCTGGTAGTATAATCTTCTTCCTACAATTTCAGCTACTTTTCAACTTTTTTTTTCTCTAATTTCATCTTTTTTTTAGCTAGTTTCCTCATTTTTGTGTTAATTTCTGCCTATTCAAACCTAATTGTATGTGTTCTTTCTGTTTCCGTCTGCAAATTTAGGCTTGTTCTTCCATTTCAGCTACATGCTTTATAGTTTATTTCAGCTCTTTTCAGCAAGTTCCTCTGCAATAAACATTCACTCTGCATTTTCGCAGGAAATTCAATTTTTCTAGTTAAGCTTTAATGTTTTTAAACATTTTTATTCATTTGTGCCTCCAATTGTAAAGAAAAATCAAAGATGTCGGTCTCATGGTTTCACCTACAATATATGCTTTATGGTCAAGATGCTGAACTTATCATTTTAGTCTTTTTATACAATATTTAACTCTCTTGTTGCCCTTGGGTCAAAATGACCCAGGAGGCGTCAGTTTTAACTCTATGAGACCCCAACAGAACCTGTGATGTTAGCTCAATAAAACTTTAATCAAATGGTACCACTAGAAAATACAGATTTTTATTTTTGTATAGCTTTAACCATTTTTATTAATAAAATTAAGTCAAAAGCATTTACGACCTTGCCCAAGAGGTTGTAAGATGACAGTCAGAGCAATGGGACAAAGGGAGAAATTACTGAAGACTGAGTGATGCAAAAACCATCATGTAGAAAATCTTCCTTTAGGTTTAAAAGATTTATAATAAGTTGCCAAAAGCATTAAACACTGAACTGATTTCAAACAAAGTCTCAAAGATAAATCTGTGAACAAGACACTTCCCAGATTTTCATTCTTATTTGTCTCCTGTTTTCATTTATATTTTATGTTGTTGTTGATTTTGATTTCGCAGCAGACATCATTAAATTTAAAGTAAATGCACAGGTTTATCAATGTGTTGCATTTAAAATAAGTTCTGCTTGTAAACACTTTTGCAGCTGCAGAATTATATTACAGCTTTCATTAAAACACCTGAGTGTTTCCGACTCCTCCAAGTCAAAGTGTTTGTGGTGAAATAGGCCTATAATTGAATTACTGAACTGAATTACAGTTTTTCAGCAGAAGCTTGATCAGTTCCTAAAACCCAACAGGAGACAAAGACCACAAACTAGACAGCATTGTTGGTGGTTTAATGTTATTTTGTAACGTTCCTGCTCAGATAAAGTTTTATATAACTCAACTCAATGACAATTTTTTCTGTAAAATTGGAACAGGCCAAGGTTTCTACCAACAACTCTTTATTTAGGGATTTGAAATGGTGTTTTTCAATCTTCTTTGCTTTCACCTAGAAAGCAACAGCATTAACCCTTTAAAAATGTAATAACTTTAGTTTAGTTTATAAAACGCGTTCAAATTTCATCTCATTTAGGCAAAGTGTGCTATGACTTTTGTTTTCTGTTTATTTTTTAAAATGTAAAACGTATCGATCGTTTTTTTTAACAAGTATTTTCCCCATAGAAATATACTGCGTGCCATCTCTGATCTGGTTCTGTTCAAAGCCAAACTGAAGATGTATTTATTTAAAAGGACTTTTAATGTTTAAATGTTAGCATTTAACATTTTTTTAACCTCTTTTACCTTCTTTTATCGTGGCTGTGCTTTTAATTTGCACTGATTTATTGTGCCCTGTTTTATTTGTTTCATCTTGTAAAGCACTTTGGTCAATGCAAGGCGTTATTGGAAGGTGATATAGAAAAAGAGTTTATTATTATTATTATTATTAAAAATAGACTGAGAACTCTAATTCTTTCAGAAACGTTGTTGTAATCTGCCGTCTTCTAAATATATTTCAACTTTTAGTTGTTGTTTTTAGCTGTTATCTAGCCTTTTATTACTTTAACTTTTAGCTAAGTCTTTGATACTTTGAGCATTTAGTTATTGCTACTTTTAACTTTTAGCTAGACTTGTGATACATTTAGCTCATTTTTTTTTAGCTTTAACAACTCAGTTTCAGCTTCTTTCAAACTGCACTTTCACAGAAAATTACTTTTTTCTAGTTTAATCTGTGAACATTTTTATGACAAACATAATATTAATATTTGCTGTCCCAAGTGATCTGTTGGTTATGTCATAATTTCATCAAAAGGAAATTTAAGTCTTTTCAATCTCTGTCATACACACCTTCATAGTCCATGTCCCAGGGGCCCTTCCTGATGGAGCCGTTGTCTGAGCTGGATGGTGGTCTGGCAGGAAGATTAGGGGCCACACTGCACACGACTGGCCCCTGTGTCCTTGAGGATCCACTTCCTGATGAACCAATTTGGCTGCGAGGCCTCAGAGACCTGAACGGAGTGTGGTCCAGGTTGTTGGTTGAGCTGACCAAAGAGTTCATCTCAACTGGTTTGACGTCTTCGTTGTCTGCTTTCAAGCTCTTTGCCAGACTGGTTGGAAAATAGCTGTTAGTATAAACAAACATGTTTATTTAAGTTTTATTATGCTAGCATGACCCTTGTATACATCTACCAGATCAAAAGTTACTTTCACACCAGCCTCATTTGAGCTGAAACTTCAAACTTTCTTGTTTGATTTGAATCAAGAGTACAAAAGTAAAATGTTTTAGAATAAGTTCTGAACCAAGTGGTTAAAAATCTGTGTAAACCCTACAAAAGGAATCTTAGTTTTGCTTAAACAAAACCATAATTGGCTTGTTTCTTGTGTAAAACATATTTTATTGACTAACAGTCCAGGGGTTCTCAACACTGGTCCTTGAGGAACACCATCCTGCATATTTGCTTCGACACATCTGATTTTAATTAATGGGTGATTAACAGGCTTCTGCAGAACACGAGGAAGTAATTAAATCACTGAATCAGGAAGTTGGAATAAGGAAACGACTAAAACATGCATGATGGTGTTCCTCAAGGACCAGGGTTGGGAACCACTGGACTAGATGTTTAGGATGCTGGTGTAAAATGAAATATATGCAGATTGATAATAATAATAATAATAAATAAATTAGATTCTGCTTTTGTGTTGCAATGAAAACTCTTCTTTGAGACGTTTGTTTTTATAGATAAAGACAAATAGGAAAATTCATGCTTACCCATTTGAATCCTGGACACAGACAGGCGTTTTCTTCTTCTGCCGAACATAAAACACCCTGACGCAAACAAAGATGCCAACCAAGAAGACTAATCCAAGCACACCAGCACAGATCACCAAGACATCCAAATATCCAGTTATTGGAGACACCTGACAGAGGACGACAGCAGATGAGTTTGACTGAAGATACATGGAGAGTTTTACTGTCCTGTAAAGTTTCCATAAAACCGACCACAGGCAGTGGATCGCAGTGGATGTTGCCTCCGGTGACTTTACAGTCAAACCCTCCAGCACAAGGATTGGGCGAACAGAATTCCGCCTCGTTGTGGCATCTAAATGTTTGAGAGGAGACAGATTTGAGAGCTACGAGAAAAATAAAATGCACATTTACATCAGCCTGTGAGATCCTCTAAACAAACATCAGCGTGCTGTTTCTGCAGTTTGCGTTGAAGTCCTTCATTTGCATTAAATTATAAAACATGCAGGATTTAGCATTTCTGAAGAGCAATTATTAGCAGCCTTATTGTGTTGATTTCTTGCTTTTATTTTTGTGGTCATGATCAAAAATGACATCCCCAATACATTAAATTCACCTAATACCATGAGAGTTTTGTTTTTATTAATTTGTGTTCCTATTAACAGTATGGAAGTAGATTTTCTGCTATGCAGCCTGTAGGCTTCACTGAATGGAAATGAGCTCATGTCTGTCCTATGGGTGTATCATGGATGTAGTAATTTGAATAAAGGAATGTTTTTTTTTCCTGAAAGCAAAATTCTAAAATGGTCAAACTTGGTAGGAAGGAAATACAGTAGGAGGATAATATATCCTAGTTCAGAGCTATTCAACTAAATTGCCCACGGGGCCACAGTTACTGCAAGCCAAGAGCTCAGGGGCCAGACATCCAGCAATTATTATCATTAAGTATTTTTTTTATGATTTAAAATCTAGTTTTATTTAAAAAGGAACCCATTGGTGGGCCAAACTGAGCACACCCACGGACCTGATTTGGCCCCCAGACTCCAGGTTGTACAGCCTAGTTTACTTTTTATGATGGAAGAGAAGATGTGATTTTTTTTTCTTCTCCAAAACTAGAACAGAATTTAGGCGTTATGACAAAATTCTCCAACATTTGAGCTCTTTCTTAGGGCTTTTTGTCCAAATCTTTTGCAACAATAAAATGTTTTTTTTTTTTTTTTTTAAACAGACAGTTCAGATAACCTTATTTAAAACAAACGGCTTTGGATCCATGTGTTTTTGATGATAAAATGTGGAAAATAAAGAACTCTACCGCACAGCAGCTAGCAACGTTGGATTGACGACACTAAAAGCTTCACCGCAACCTTTCATGTTCCCGGTCCATGAAAGAAACGGCGCTTCTCGGACCAGCTGAGTTCTGATTGCTAAGTGCTGCGGCTGATACAGAAACATATCATTTAGTTGAACGTAGCATCCCTTGCTGTTCAGTGTTAACCTCTCATCCCCCAGATGCAAAACGAACCAAATTAACATATTCAATCAACACTTAAAAAATTCAGTGCCTGCTTTCTTGACCAAAATTGTATAATTGCATTGTGTCTGACATTAATGATTGACAGCTGATCTATCCAAACAATGTTCAGTCTGTATTAAAGCATGTGCAACAGAAATGCACTTTCATGCTCTGTGCTGTTATGCATTCAGAGTTATTAAACCTCTTCACATGTTTTTAAAGTCAACAGGAAACTCTAGCATCCTCTAATTATGACACTTGACACTAATTATGACACACTTCTTCACACTCAGTTAATCCAAGGCCCACCTGGAACATGAATTACTGTCCATGACTGAGGAGCCACACAGTCCCAAAGACAAATTTCATCAAAGAAAAATATGCAAATGTTTCTGTATTTTTGTTGGACGGCCGTCGCACAACTGTCTGTTTGAAGAGTGGAATTGCATTTGTTTGCTTGTGAGTTTGCGTTTTGGAGTGTGTTAGTTCAACTGCATAAACATGCAAAGTCAAAGCTGTGCAAATTTTATTTTATTTTTTCTAAATGAAAGCATGTACTGCGAGGATGTTTCACAATATAATGAGGGCTGTGCTGCTTCCTTCATGTTTTCTTGACCTTGGTGCAATTACAAGAATACCTCTGAGGATGTAATTACACTGTGCGACCAAAATTTATTTGTAAATGTTAGAGTGGTAAGAATTTTTATTATTGTTTTATTCCTTTTCTTGGGGGCAGCACGGTGGCGCAACTGGTAGAGCTGCTGCCTCTCAGCGAGAAGGTCCTTGGTTCAAACCCCGGTCCAGGGGCCTTTCTGGGTGGAGTTTGCATGTTCTCTCCGTGCATGCGTGGGTTTTCTCCGGGTGCTCCGGTTTCCTCCCACAGACCAAAAACATGCATGTTAGGCTGATTGGTAACTCTAAATTGTCCATAGGTGTGAGTGAAAGTGTGAATGGTTGTTTATCTCTATGTGGCCCTGTGATGGACTTGCGACCCGTCCAGGGTGTACCCCGCCCCTCGCACAGTGATTGCTGGACATGGGCACCAGCGACCCCCGTGACCCAAAATGGAATAAACGGGTAAAGATAATGGATGGATGGATTCCTCTTCTTGGTTAACTGCACCCTTTTTTTTTACTTGTAATTAAATAGAAGACCAGAAAACCAGCTTCTCTGCTTCATTTAATTTTTTTAATGGTTGTTTTTCCATGCATTCCTCTTATTTTGAGGTGCTAAAAATATCTTAATGGTAAATTTTATTGCAATTAAAAACTGTTTTGTGAGGATTATTTTTTTGTCCGTATGCCCTGTAGTATTACCATATCTATTAAAATTAGAAACCTCTTGTCCTAAAACAATGTAGACAAACTGGTTTATTTATTACTTCTAGGCTGGACCATTCTAATTCTTTATCCGAGTGTCCAAAAGCTTTGAGAAGTTCACTTGAGCCAAACTGCTGCTGACAGATAAGAATAATAAAAAAAAAAATCATATGTCTCCAGTTATAGCTTCTCTCATTTCCCTGTAAAATTTAGAATTTTAAATTTTGATTCCAACAATCAAAACTCTCAACAGCCAATCTGAATTTTATAAATAAACATCTATATTTTCCAAACCGAGCACTTTGTTCTCAGACTGCAGGTTTACTTGTGGTTGCTAGAGTTTCTAGAATTAGAATGGGAGGCAGAGCTTTCAGTGTCTGGCCATAAGGCGGATACTGTGTCCACGTTTAGAACTAGGCTTAAAACTTTCTTTTTTTAATAAATCCTATAGTTAGGGTTGGCTTGGGTTGCCAGAGTTATACTGTGATTCTGCTTCTATAGGCTTTTATTGCTGGACAAACTGACTCTATTTCCTTTATATGCTGCTGTCTTTATTCACTCTACTGTTCATGTTTGCATTTGTAATTACATTATTTATATCATTACCAAGTGTTTTTTTTTCTCAAGTTTTACCCGTAGAAATTACACCTGGACCACAAAAATTACACCTGAACCATGGAAACTCCACTTGGACCATGAAAATTCCACCTAGACCATGGAAACTACACCTGAAACATGGAAATCACATCTGGACAATGGGAACTACATATTGACCATAGAAACTACACCTGGACCACAGAAACTACACCCATACCCTAAAATCTACATCTGGACCACAGAAATTACAGCTGGACCATAGAAATACACCTTGACAATATAACCTACACCTGGACCATAGAAACAAAACCTGGACCACAGAAACTGCACCCGGATCCTAAATTCTACATCTGGACCACATAAATTATAGCTGGACCATATAAATACAACTTGACAATATAAAGTACACCTGGACTATAGAAATTACAGCTGGACCATGGAAACTCACATTGACCATATAAATTACACCCAGATCCTAATAAATACACCTGGACCATATAACTGTATTTGAATCATATAAACTATACCTGGACCACAGAAACTACCCCCAACCCCTCAAAACTACACCTGGACAATAGAAATTACAGCTGGACCATGGAAGCTCACATTGACTATAGAAACTAAACCTGGACAACAGAAAATTAATCTGGACCATGGAAACTCCACCTGGACTATAGAAACTCCACACATGCTTTTTTCTTGTCCGACCTAAACCTGGATGACAGAAACGTCATCTGGACCATGGAAACTAC